TCTTTCCCTCCAGGCTTTGACACCATAGCAGCTGCTCGGATATTTCATAAGCTGATGAACAGATTGGGCTTCAAGGAGTACTACCTGCAGGGAGGGGACTGGGGATCTCGTATCACCGCAAACATGGCCCAGATGCTGCCACAGTGAGTAGCGAAAGGAATTGGTGCAGAGAAGCTGACTCCAGTTCTTACCCTACACCTCCTGGCTCCGTGGTCCTGGGCAGGACCTGCCTCTCATCCCCTTCTGCTTTGTCTCCTCCGGGGACACCCCCACCCCCAGGCATTCAGTTGTGCCCACGGGCTCGGCATCGGTGCAGTCCTCACGCTTGCTAAACTTCAGTGCAGGTTGGCTTCTCTTCCACCAGCTGTGGAAGTAAACTCGGCTGCTTTTTGATCCGAGACCTCGAGGAGACAGGTCATCATTCTAAATCACGAATTTAGAGTCAGCAGGGAGAAAAGGGAGCAGCTCAGCTCAGCCTTTCAGCAGCTGAACAGTAGCGCAAAGTCTAGGACTTCCCTACCTAAAACGTAGCGTTCAGATCAGAAAAGGAACACACCAACCTCCCTTAGAAGGTGGCATCACGGCTCGTTGTTCAGCGTGTGACGAAAAGCAGGCGCCACAGCCACGCTTAGGTCAGAGGACAGACAAAGGGGGAAGCTCTCCCAGCAGTTAGAGCGCAGGCTGAGCTGCTCGCTGTTCCCACTTGCCGCTGTGCTTCGCAGCGCCCAGAGCACTGTGGCCACGCGTGATCTGCTCGAGCTTCTCAGGGAACACCCAACCCAACCCGTTCCCTACAGCACAGACCAGCACAAGATCGACAGCCAGAGCTACCGGCGTGGGTTTGCCACTTCCAGAAACCGAGTACCTAAAGCCAACGTCGTACCGGTGGCACAGCTGGATGGAGATGGCACCAACTGGACCATCTCTACCTCCCATAATCTTTTTTCTTTTCATCATGATGAGCCTGAAGGGCTTAATGTATTTGGCTCAGTGAAATGCTTCTGTCACAGCTCCAGTCAGCCTTATTTTCTAGCAGATTTGGAGACAGAAAGTCTCTTGTTTTAACCTTCTGCTCATTAACTTAATTTTAGATCGGTGAAAGGCCTTCATCTGAATCTCATCTTCCTCGGCCAACAAGGTTTGAGAAGGATGATCTCTGTGATGCTCGGGGCTTACGTGCCATGGCTCGTAGGCCTCACCAGGGAAGATGTTCGACGCATGTACCCTTTCCTCCAGAAGAATTTCTATGACCTTCTGCGGGAGTCTGGATACTTACACATCCAAGCCACCAAGCCAGACACCGCAGGTAACGAACCGTCTCCGTATCGCTGTGAACGGTGTGTGGTAACTGCTCGTGATCTGTAAAACCTGAGAGTTGAGCAAAGGGCAACCGTGCTCGAGAAGCGACGAGCTCTGGTGACTGAACGAGGCATGGGGACAGGCACGGTGTAAGAGGAGGTTGAAAGGAACAGCTTAAAAAAAAAAAATGGGCACTACAAATATCACTGGTCAAGGTCCCCTTGTCTGGGGGAGAGAACCCCTTTGCAAAAAGCCTCTTAAAGTAAAGCACAGGGTCCTGAAATTGAAGCTTCTAGAAATAAACGTGGGTGAAAACAAGAAAAGTATCATAAGCAAGTGCAGTTTGAAACTCGCCAAAAGGCAGGCACAGCCCTAACCCCTGAAGAGCCAGAAGGCTGACACAGTTAGCGGGGCCACGAGACGAGGAGTCTGAAGAAAGATATGGCCCTCTCAGAAAAGGTAAATGAATTATTCGCATCAGTCCCCACTAGCAAGGATGGTGGGGTATTCCTTTATTGAAAGGACGCCTCATCAGCAAAGACAGGAGCTGCCTCAGGCTGGTGTCAGATGTGGGGACCACAGAAAGTAGCACCCCGACCTGGCAATCCCCGGGAAAAGAAGAAACTCAAACTAAGACACCAGCCAATGCCTCGTCTGTACTTGAGCTGGTTGCCATACCAAGGAAATAAAAGGAGGCAAACAAGATACCAGGTCGAGGGGTTTTTAAGAGCCAAACAGCGAAGCCCCAGAAAAACAAAGACCAGCGTGTGTAGTCTCTGATTAGAAAACTAGCAGAACTATTTTAAAAAGGAGAATTGATTGCCAGGTGATAATATCACAAGGAAATCATGCTTCAAAAATCAGAGCTCTGGCAGAATCAGGGAGCTGCGGATCCAGTAATGGAACGTATTTCATTTCCAAAAGAGTTTTGTGGAGGTTTGTCCCCCAATGTTCTTAAAGAAATTAAACTGCCTTAAGAAGGGGATTAAGTTCACGGGTTAACGGCTAGTTAACATGAGAATCCAAGCACAGGAATAAGTAAGCAAGTTCCAGGGGAAGGGGAGTATCACGAAAATCGGTGCTGGCACCTGTACATTTCAGCATGTTCTACAGATGAAAGTTAATGGTTAAGTGAAAACTGGACTGCCATCCAGGGTTCGGTTTAATCTAAAGGTAACTGCAGAGAGTTGCAAAAACATTGGAGCCACTGGTTGATTAAACCGGCCAATAAAAACTGGTCAACAAAGTCCAAAGCAATTTAAGTCGAGACAGAAAATCACAACGGGCCCTAGTTCGGCTGCTGCCTTACGAGAGAATCCACTGAGCCACTGCTTTGAAACGTTAGCCAGCGCAGAGTTCGAGGTCATCTTAGGAACTCTTAAAGAAAGCTAAAAAGAGACTATGACAAAACACCAAACCCATGGTATTCAGAGTCTGCTGCACCCCTGTTCACCCTGTCTCATAAACGTGTTTTAGAATCAGAAGAATACGGGAAGGGGAGCAAAGGAAGACTGAAGTGACTGAGCCGCTTCCGCACAAGCGCTGTACTCTCTAGGACTCCTCAGCCGGGGGGAAAGAAGAGCAGGGATTTTGGAACGTGCTAGAATTGTGACATGGAGAAAACTAATAGGGGAAAAAAAAAGATGTATTCCCTACTCAGCCTCCAGAAGCACCCACATTATTGGTTTAGTTCTCATTAGGCAGGTTTAAGGCAAAACTCGAGCATTTTCACTCACCACAAGTTGGGGTACAGGTTGAGTGCCTCAGCTGCAAACAAGCCGGGTATTTCTGAGCTGCCAGTCCCTGGACATCGGGGAGCTTTCAGACCAGAAAGTGCTCGACCCCAGGCAGGTCAGGTGCTGGCTGGCACGCTCTACCCTGCCCCACCATCGCTGGCCGAAGCATTTGCTCGGCCTCGATGCGCAGCAAATCCCTCCGGGCCTGCCAGCGCGGGGAAAGCGCCGTGCCAGCGCCCCAGCCCCCTCCGCCTTAGCGCCGTCAGACCGGGACCGCGCTGGGCCTCGGTGCCAGGGTCACGCTGAAACGCACTTGAGGGCCGGCAACAGACACACCGTACAACTACAGCCGAGGGTAGGGGACAGGGATTTTCCCGAGGCGAGGCTCTATCGCCCCTGAAGCCGTGCCCGTGTCACAGGTAGGAGCACAGACACCGCACGCGGTGTGCCTGCTGCGTTTGCAGTGCTGTCGGCGTTCCCCGAGGCAGGCACAGGCACAGGCGCACAACACTCCCGTCTACATCAGACCCAAAGCGATGAGCAGCACCCCGGGGCTCGGGGCAGCCACCCTCGGCAGGGCAGGGCTTCCCAACAGCCTGTCTGAAGTTCCCTCCGAGCGTAAACCCCTTACACCTGCATTTTCTGACACACAGCACCAAGCAGCCAACGGGACTTCCGTAGCTCCTCGCTTCTTTTGTGTAGGAACTACCTGAGCTCGTAGCTCTGTCAGAGCCAGAATCCCACCGGGGTGAATTTGTCAGGAATAAAGCACTACCAGGGCCGGTAAAAACCAGGCTCTCGACTGAATTCTCATGGAAAACTCTGAAGAATTAATGAAAGTCCCCTGAAGTCTTGCACTGCCGGGCAACTGCAACAGCTCTCCTGTTCTTCTCCTGAATTAGGTTGTGGACTGAATGACTCTCCTGTGGGGCTTGCTGCGTATATTTTGGAGAAATTCTCTACCTGGACAGACAAATCCTTTCTGCATAAAGATGATGGAGGCTTGGAAAGGTATGAAAACAGATGCTCCTCCATGATTAAACTCATTAAAAGCATGAGTGATGGTAACTAACAAGGAGATAGGTAAGAGACTGGCCAAAGCTGAATTTTAAGGATGAAAGATTACACACAAGTAGTGGTTTAAACTCACCGCGGGCTGCCTGCAAACTACTACTCCAGCACCAGGCAGTTTCGCTCTGGGCACACGGCTGGCAATTAATTTGCTGCTTGAAAACGAGCGGAGAGAAAGAGGAACAACTGTCCTTCGGGGCGTGAGCCAAATGTAGTGCGTGGAGAAAAAGCTTCCGATGGAATTTCTTCATCTTTCAACAGCAAATACTCTCTCGATGAGCTGCTGACCAACGTGATGATATACTGGGTGACGTCCTCCATCGTCTCCTCCATGCGGTTCTACAAGGAGAACTTGTCCAAGGACCCTGGGCTGACTGCTGATGCCAGGTAACGGGGTGGCAGGCGCAAGACACTCGCAAAGGGGATTGAAATATATTTGCCCATATAAACATTTAGATCACTTACAACAGCAAATTTAACTAGTTTTAAAAAAAAAAATCCAAGTTCTTCTTTTCTTTTGATAAATAGAGGTAAGAGTCACTTTACTTTTGAGCCTTGCCTAACTTGTGGCCAAGACAGCGCAGAACTTACCAAAGTACGTTCAGACTACAGGTCTGTGCTTACTCACCAAACAAACGTCATCTGGGGCTCGGCTCAGTAAAAACAAAACCAAATCACGAGCGTTTCTAAGCAAAAAGTTCAAACTGAATTAGGAAGGGTACGGCTTGCTGGCAGATACATGAAGAACTACAGCAGTTAAGCCCAAACTCGGGGAAGCGATTTGGAGGGCGGCACTGGAAACTAAGCCTCTTCTAACAGCCCCTGGCTTCAGGGTGACTGTAAGAGAGGCTGACCAGGAAAACGCTGCTGAGCAGAATTCTCCAAATAATTGATCATACAAACAAGAGTGGTTTTCTTTGCAGACTGAACCATTTACCTTTCTTCTCTAGAAAGTCTTTCTTAACCATAAATCTGAAGCAAACATGAGCTAGCTCATGTCTGACTTTCAGAGATGTGGCATCTTGCCACACGTCACAAAACTGCAAAAGCAGCTTGAAAACCGGGAACATTTCAAGATTGAACTATGTGCAGAGTTGGCTCCACCTCGCACATCTCTGGGTGTAACACTCACACTCAGGATCCAGATCTGATGCTCTTCAGCAGAGCACAGAGCAGGTTACTGCGGTGAGGCTTCCCCAGGTGACTCCGGCAGTCCCCAGAGCCAGAAGGCTCCTGTAGGCTGTCCCCAGGACCTCCCTCCAAAACACACCTCGCTAATGTCTTCCAGGGCTCGAGTGCACGTTCCCACAGGGATTGCGGCGTTCCCTCAGGAGATAGTGCACACCCCGCGTGTCTGGGCAAAGGAGACCTTCAAGAACATCGTCACTTACTCTTACATGCCACGTGGAGGGCACTTTGCCGCCTTTGAGGAACCGAAGCTCCTGGCAGAAGACATCGTGCGCTTTGTCCGGAAGGTGGAACAGCTGTGAAGCTGCACACGTGGAGCAGGAGCTGTTCCGCCACCGCCCGACCCTCTGCTTTGAGGGATGAAATACAACCGACGGAATCGCAAACAGAAGCCAGAGGTTTATTTTGATAATGCTCACAGTACTACATTTGCTAATCGAGCTCTAAATATCTTCATAAGGGAAAAAAAAAAAAAGCATCTTGTCTTCTGTCTTCTCTCATTCCGGGCACCGCGTCCTCGCTGCTTTCGTAGTTCAAGTACAACAGAAGAGGTAAACAGTTCAGTGCAGCGACATCGCACTCGTTTGGGGAAGAGAAGGAAGGAACTGGCCCTTTGTTCCCTCCCCAGAACTAAGGCTTCTGCTCAAAAGCTTCTTTAAACACAAGCAGCTTTGGTGGCAGCGTAAAGGGTTTTGATCTCCTGAGCACAAACACCCCCACGTTCAAGTTCTATTTGGACATTTCATGCACGAGCCCCGCGATCCCGATCCCCGCGGGCAGCTGCACAGCGGGCAGCTCGCTCCACCCAGCCCTTCCTCCCCCAGAGCTCACTTGAGCAGCTCCCACACGTTGTAAACAGTTGTTGACGGACAATAAGGCAGACAGCACGCCTACCCTTCTCCAAGCTCAAAACCAGCAATTTCCTCTTCCTTCTATATTCTCATTCCCTTCCAAAATGGTCAAAGTTAAAATAGCACCAAGCACAGAGGATTCCTTCAACCCTTACCCTCCCTTCAAAGGATTTTTACCACCCCGTTATGCCATTTTTGCTAGCAAGAAACTACAAGCAACCTTGGTACTAGTAGGCTCCAGCTTCTCTTCAACTCCAGAGAAGCTGAGCTATTGGAGCTCTTAAGGAAATTCCAGTCAGGAATTTGACAAGTAAAGCTAGTGCTGAACTTGATCACACTCCCCTCACCTCTCCTCCACATTTCAGAAACATTAAGAGTCTAAGATTCTAGAACTTATAAGATGTAAAAGTAAAATAACAACAAAAAAGTTGGTTTCTTGCTTAAGTGAGAATAAACTGGCACGTTGGGACAGGAGCCCTAACTTCCTCTGAAGGAAGAGGGTTAGAGCAGAAACTACTTACTTCTGAGTGTACATCTAACATTGTCAGGGCCATTGGACTAAAGGTCAGTAAAAACCAACCAACCAACCAAGACGTGCTTCCCTGCCTCCCCAGGCCTGCTTCCCATCACCAGTACGAGGCCACGCTCGGTACCAGCCCGCCCGATCGCTCAGCAGTGCCGCTCTTTTTTTTTCCCATTATTAACTGACTGAAATTGCGTTATGGGGAAGTGACATTTTATGAACCAGCTGGGCAAACCCTCGAGTACTCGAGCCTGATCAGGCTGCAGGGAAAGGCCTCCTCACAGGAACAGGGTAGGTAGGAGTGGTTATGGCCTTTGCTATAAAAGCCACGTGTATTAATAGTCACAGACGTTGTCTGGAGCCCCAAACATCAGCTGATGTAGTAAAAATGAGCAGAGAAACGGCCACATTAAACCTCAGGAGAGAGAAGACTGCATCCAGTATCTGCCAGTTCAGTCAACACGCAGCGGGGAAGTTCTGCTCCCAAGACACCAATTCATCTCGTGTGGCACAACTCAGGTCCCTAAAGAATCACGGTATCTATGTGCAACTGCGCATTAACGGGGATTCCCTGTCCACAGCAGTTCGGGAGAAGAGAGCGGAGCACAGCCAAGCCACAGGAAGGCAGCAGGTGACCCGGAGAAGAGATCCAGACAGACAAGATCAGGCGGTTACATTCGATAAAGTTATAATCACTTCAAGCAGCACCAAAGATGATTCAATATTTCACTAAAGCTCTGCAGAGCACAAGTCATTCATGAAAGCCTCTGAGCGTCACGGGTGCTTGGAACCACACGTAGTCCTCCCAGGGAGACGCCGTGCGCGGCGGAGGCGAGGCCGTGACGCCGAGCTCTCCGTCACAGGACAAGGTAACGGTGAGTTTCCTCCCTCGGGTCGGCACTTTGTAGTTGAGCTTGGGCCGGAACCAATCCACACCACAGTCCCGGTGTCCCTGGAGCATAACAACAGTGCCCGTGACAGGGAGAGCCTTCAGCTCACTGAAGACATCCGCCACAAAGAGGGAGTGAAAGAACTTGCGAAGGCAGGACGCGGTTTTCAGGCTCTCCTCGGCGCTGCCCTCGCAGATACCCTCCAGGTTGAGCTCATAGAGCTCCTTGGGGCTCATGACGTTGCCTCCAAGGAGAATGAGCACCCGAGGAACCAGCGTCAAACTAAACATGACTTCCAAGTGCTGGAGCACTCCCTCCAGCTCCATCAGCACCTGCTGGCACTTCTTGCTTGCCAGGTCCACGGAGGAGGGCTTCTTAATCACCTCTCCACCCTGGAAAACAAACCAAAAAAAGATCAGTGTACTTCATTATTAGGACATACTAGTCCTAACACACTCTTAAGAAAGCATGGCCCACCCCATTCCTGAAAGTCAAGGAAGGCTCAAAGGGGTTTATATTCCTTTTATGAGATATAGGTACCCACATATAGAATCAGGAGATCCAAGAGGAACACAAAAGGCCTCTCTATAGCTACTCAGTTTGAACCTGAATCATACTGATGAATTCCCACAAGAATTAGAAGCCTTATCTTTTAAAGATCATCTATCACTCCAAAATCACTTAACTTCTTTATTTTAGAGCTGTTTGAGTAACAGACAGCAACATGCTTTGAGCTGAAAGTGGGAGAAGAGATAAGCAGCAACTTGTTGAGACCTTTTGCCACCTAACTGAAAGTTTTGTGTTTGGGTTTTTTGTTTTTTTTTTTTTAATGAAGTCGCAGTAACATTTAAGGCTACAGCTACAACAAGCTCTTTACTTTAGAAGCAGCTGGCACACTAAAACACCCGTTACTGAGCTGGAAGTGTAAGCGAACAGGCACAACTCCAACGCCGCAGCCCCTGCGGCGAGGCC